ATTGATAAAACTTACAGAAAATCGAATGAAATGGTGAATTGATGCACATATTGATTAAAAAATAGTGTAAGAATCAATGGCCACTCCCAAAATTGCATTTACAGTGATCAAACATATTGAATTTGACTCACAATGGTGCATTTTACCTCTTTTATTCAGTTGTTATTAAAAAAGGGATATTAGCACATTCCTGTATCGACAAGGAATGGGTCTCAACACCAAAGCAGTCTAGCCAAACCAGAATAGACTTGATTATCAGTTCTCTTTCTGCCATTGTGCTTCAATACGCTGTGGAAACAGCAAGGTTTAGAGTTCATACAAAAATACTGTACAGAGAATAGAACTTTCATATTACACATTCAAAAATACACATCAATGCATACATCAGGAATTCAAAATGCATAGGGATGAACACATTTGGAGCTTTATAAAGCACATGTAAAATCTTTTAAAAACCGTTCTCTGGTCTCAATATTGCACATATAAAAGGAATGATGAAGGAGTCACTTGGCTTGAAACATCACTTGTGGTGAGAACATGAAATTAATTTTTTTTCTATTTTTGGAGCTGTGGTGTGCCAACCTTCCCTCCTTTTTAACATATAAAGCGAAGCCAATTGTCTATCCTCTTGGAATAGTGCGTACATGTTAAAATACTTACACCATCATGGTTAAATAAATGTCTCTGAAATGAAAACAGTCCCTTCTTTGAGACTTTGCTTGCTGGCGTTGGCCTGTAATGCAGCGACCAGCAGACAAAATGTGGTCTACCACAAAGCAGATGTCAAATAAGACATTTCAAATGAATAAAGGTCTTATTTTTTTTGTAGTCAGCTCTTGGTAGAATTACGCAACAGGCAGGAAGGTTGTAGGGAGGAAAAAAAAAAAAAAAAAACTTGAAGGGGCCTAGGAGCGAGCCTTGGGTAGACTCCTAATGCGACGGGCCTGAACAGAGACTCTGATTGTTCAACAAAGTCTTGTAGAACAATGAGTGCTTTCTACTTTACTGCAAATAGATTTTGCTTGTGCTTTCCAACATGGTTGTAAAGATGCAGGGGGAGGAAAAAAATTCAGCTAATCCACAATTAAATACAGAGTTTATAAGTGTTTTGGTGTGGACAGGACCACACTGAAGGAGAAATAACCCCCCAAAAGTAGATTTCTAAGTGTGGGAAAACTGCTTTAACCACACAAGGGAAGTCCTAAAATGTAAACGAAAATATTTATTGACTTTGACAAACCACAGGATACAGCTGCATTTTGGTTCTTGAAATCGTATTTGCTTATGTTTATAATATAAACCAATAAACTTCATCATCTTCGATGATGTAGCTTTCTTTCGTGTGGGTTACCTTTTATTGTTTTAAACAGTAGGTCACCCACGCCATTATTTACTCACCATTGTTTTTTTTTTAAACTCGTATTGTGTCATTTACTCAATAAAAGGAGAATTTTTGAACAATGTCAAGTTCCAAAAAGCTTTGTGTTGAGAAAAGTAAATGATGATATACTTAATTTTAATGAACTATTCCTTAAGATATTAAAAAAAGTAGGGCTGTCAAACGATTAATCGCGATTAATCGCATCCAAAATAAAAGTTTGTGTTTACATAATATATGTGGGTGCACTGTCTATAATTATTTTATATGTATAAATACACACACATGCTTGAATATATTTAAGAAAGATGTATAGGCTATACTGTATAATAGATTTATATATAATTTATATATGTAAATATAAATATTTTATATATAAATAATATTTTTTTCTTAAATATACATGCATGTGTGTGTATTTATATACATACAAAATAATTATACACAGTATGTAAACACAAACTTTTATTTTGGATGCGATTAATCGCGATTAATCGTTTGACAGCCCTACAAAAAAGCGACAACTTTCTTCATCAGGGATAAAAACACTCTCCCAACTACATATTGGAATCATAACAATTTCAGTTCTGATTCCAATTAAAGACATTGTTTGTTTTCCAGAGAATTTGTATCCCAGAGTGTTGGAATCATCTGCAAAAATCAAACATAAACAGCTCTGAACTAAAACCGGTTCTCGATTCGCAAACCTAGCCAAGAAACAATGTTTCTTGGAAACATCACATCCCATACATCTCAATGAAACAAATCTACAAGACGCACCCTCAAACAGGTTTAACTCTTTAACCTGTCAGATTCTTTCTAACAAAAGAACTAATTGTTTTGCGGGGTTAAACGGTTCACATAGCAGTGGAATATTCCACAGACGGACGAAGCTACACATCCTTATTTCCCCTTCAGATGTCAAGCTATATCCCACCACAGACCATAAATCTCGGATTTTGAAACACTAGATAAATGTTTAGTGGAGGTTAATAGACTGTGTGTGCATGTCCCCAGAGACGTGACCTTTATAAAAGCTTGGTGGCCCACGAGTGAGGAACATGCGTTAACGATGTGCCGGCTTTACAAACGCCAGCGTGTCCCAAATAGCCTGTGGTGGAAATTTGTGATATTTGGCCAGTGGTGGCAAATGGCAGTTTGGCGACAATCTACCGTGAAAGTACGTGTCCTTGAGGCCTGGATGTTTGCGGGGACTGGAGTGAATGCTACATTGCGGCAGCGGTTTGGGGATTGAAGATAAAGAGAGGTCATTTCGAGGGAGAAGGTAGGGGGTAACAGCACTTCCCACGATAAGCTTTTCAAGAAGTCAATGACATGTCAAAGAAGTCAGGGCATGTCAGACCTTGATTTTATTGCTGCATGAGAGTACACATGGCCGTTTTAGGATGCGGGTAATGGAGGTACGTGCTGCTAACTAAAATGTGTTGGCATGTCGCTATCACAGCTTCTTGTTTCTCACGAAAGTGTCTTGAGCAAATGCATTTCACACGAATAGGGTACAAAATAGGTCCTGCTCAACCTCCAAAAAGTTTGATTTCAGTGAGTCAAACTAAAATAATTGTCTTCATTTCGAACCCCATATAAAATGTTTCAACCCTGTTTTTTAAATTTAGCCAAAATTAAGCTATCACTCGGTAGAGGCTAGTGAGTTTAGGATGAAATGCTGGTTTGAAATTACTTATAACAATATTTGCCAAAAAAATTTTGATTTGTTTTTTCCTCAACATAACGGAGTTGAACGGATTTAGTAAAAGACCTCAAGACCAGCCAAAATAAGTATTTAAAATGAGAAATAAACTATTTTATGTTATTTAAGTTTATCTAACATATCTAATTAACCTCAGGATAAAAAAAAGGGATTTTGTGTCTCTGTTACATGAACATGAAACAAATGTAATGGGACACTAAAGCGTACCCTATTCATTGAAAATGTCGGTTACACTTTATTTTAAGGTGTTAGTAATCAAAAGTAATAATTACACTGTAAATACAGTGTTTTGTTAATTAAAAAAAACCTTTTGCTTATAATTTATCGTGTCATCCAAGATGTCCATGTCTTTCTTTCTTCAGTCGAAAAGAAATTAAGGTTTTTGATGAAAACATTTCAGGATTTTTCTCCATATAATGGACTTCATTGGTAACCAAACAGTTCAAGGTCCAAAAGAAAGTTTCAGTGCAAACTGTTCAAAGGGCTTTAAACGATTCCAGACGCCGAATAAGGGTCTTATCTAGCGAAACGATCGCTCATTTAATAAATAAATAACAAAGTTTACGTTTTATAAGCTCAAAAGCACGTTCGTGACTCTCCTGTTCGAACTCGTTCATCAAAATGAACGAATCTTTTTCCGAGTCAACTCGTTCATTTCGTTCGTTGAATGAATCAAACGACATGAAAAAAAGATTCGTTCATTTTGATAAATGAGTTCGAACAGGAGAGTCAAGAACACACATCATTTGACCTTATAATTTTTTTTTTTTTAAATGGCCGATCATTTCGCTAGATAAGACCCTTATTCATCGTCTGGAATCGTTTAAAGCCCTTTGAACAGTTTGCACTGAAACTGTCTTTTGGACCTTGAACCGTTTGGTTCCCAGTGAAGTCCATTCCTGGAATGTTTTCATCAAAAACCTTAATTTCTTTTCGACTGAAGAAAGAATGACATGGATATCTTGGATGACATGGGGGTGAGTAAATCATCAGCAAATGTTTTTTGAAAAGTGAACAACTCCTTTAATTAACTACATGTATTTACTATTGGGCGTGGATAAGGTTAGTTGCATGTAATTATGCATAATTCATAGTTATTACTACAGTAAATACATATAATATGTAAAATAAAGTGTTACAAATAAGAAACGTGATGTTGACACGATAGGCTGTGAAGTCTTTGTTGGCAATATCAAACAGCAACTTTCTTTTACGAGCAGCAGGCAGTCACCTTGTGCATTGTTGTTGTGGCCTGAAGTGTTTGTGTCTGACACAAAGACAAATGAAGGTTTGTTTGTTTGTTGGGAGTCCATACTGTTTATGCGTGTAAGGGACAAAGAATGATGGTGTTTTTGTCTGTTTATAGTAGCAACGTGTGTTTGTGAGAGAGGACAATATGTGCCTGAAGGTATTCTTGCAGTGACTCAGCCAGGACTAAAACACAACTAAAGTTGTGTAAGTAAAAACACATTTGCTACTGAAAATGTAAATGTAAGACACCTTCAAAAAATACTTCCGTCTACTTCAAAAGCAGAATCACCTTTCTGTTTTGTAAACATTTGGACACAGTATGTTTTATATATATCAAAATAAAATAAAGCCAAATGAAATAAAAAACAAAAAAATATCAAAGAAAATAAATGTTTGATTTGATGGGTGAAGTCCATGTGTTGTATGCATTGTCATAGTCCCAAAAAAACAAAAATTGTTTTCTTTTCTGTTTTCAAAAACTGGCTCAGATCCTTTCGAGTATTGTACGGAAAACTGGCTCAAATCTTTTGTTGATCTGGATTGCTCAGTTCATTAGAGTTTTGTAATGAAACCAGTGGATCGTGGCTCCTGGTGATAGTCTGTTGCATCGAAATGTCCGGTGTGGTCTTAGTTACCCACTGGTCACAGGTCCAGCGTGCTGGTCTGGTGCTCGCGGGAATGGCCTACAGGGTGTAAGTGGGGATGGCAGTCATGGGGCTGGGCGACCCCCGGCTGTGCTAACGGGTTTCGGCTGATCACCAGCTCCAGTTTGTCTCCGGCCTCTGTGATGAGGGGAACAGCTAAGCAGCAGTCGAAATCTCGTGTCCGCACGTGGTTCACCTGGCAGAGAAACATATAGACTTCGGTAAATGTTCTAATATTCCACGTAAAGGCCCGTTCACACCAGGAACGACAATATTGTTCTGTTTGTTATGTGTCGTCTGCCGCTTTAAATGCTCAAGCTCTTTAAAGGGGTGATGAACTGAGAAATCAAAGTTTCCTTGAGCTTTTGACATCTAAGAGGTCATAATTTTATAAGAATATCCTTTAAGTTTCAAAACTGAAAACGTCCTTGTTAGTCCAATAAAAGCTTTTATTGACACCAGGCTCAGCAAACGACTCGTGTTTCAAAGTGGGGAACTATGACGTCAAAGAGGATAAAACACCACCCCCGCAGAAGAAGATCAACGCCTACTTCAACACGGCCGGTTTAGCCCCGCCCGATTCGCGCATTACACGCATAGCTAAATAACATAGATGCCTACCTCGTGATGACAAACCGGATCAGATAAACTTTATTTTTAATGACGTTCCAGCTGATGAGGTAAAACATTGTCCGTCTGTTCGCTTCATTTCATTGAGGATTGTTTTGTAAACAAGACTGGATTTGTAGACCGATTAAGATTAAAGATCGCTGCTGTGCCGTCTATATTGGATCTGACAGGAATGGTGGAACACACGAACTCTCGGTCGAACATGTATGGGCGAATCATTCCGGTTGCCATTTTACAACATTGGACGTTTTCAAAACAATTTCCCCCAAGTGCATCGACGGGTGAGTTGAAACTCATTATAATATGCAAAACTGTTATCCACTCACAGCAGTGGGCGTTCACTTCCAAGTCTTCAGTGCGAGACGCCCATAAAAACCGAGCGTTTTTCAGCTAGGCTCAAAATTAGGAGAGAAAATAGCCTATTACTTATTCATTTTAATGTTTTTGAATTCAAAAACCAAGCGAACGTCATAAGTTGACCTCAGACAACAATATAATAAAATTTAAAAAGCCAGTTCATGACCCCTTCAAAGCAGGATGGATTCTGATTGGCTGTCAAAGTTTTTATCCTTCATCATATTTTTTAAGTGGTTCCAACAATATTGTTTAGGTGTTTTGCATTAGAACGATTTTTAGATCTATGTCTTTATTTTTATCGTTGTTATCGTGGTATGAACGGGACTTAAGATAATTTAATCTAAATCAATAATGCAACCGTGGCTCATGTTAGCAGATTCTTTAAAATACTTGTTGTTTATCTGAACAGGGGTTTATTCTAAAAATGTATGTTATCATACTTGACAATGGGATGACAAATCAAACCTGACACCATAAAGCAAGCACCTCCAACTCAACTACAGCATTTTTCAACCCCCATAGACAAACCCATGCTGTTTTGCTGTGGTTAACGCCACAGCTGGTAAGTATCTTAACACAGATTTAATCATTTCCACAGTTGGTGAAGCGTGGGAGATTAGAAAGAGGACCACGAGATGTGACCACAAGTGCTGTGTAGCCACGCAGAAGATCCAGAAAAATAACTTTTTAACTCGACCTGTCCTCCCAGTGCTTATTGACGCTCTCAGAGTGAGTTTATATTTAACTGAGCTGGGCAGATCATATAGCTGGGCAAAGGGAGAGGGGCGTGTGGTGATTTGAGAAGAGGCACCTGAAGGATCCTGTCGTACGGTTTGAGTCCAGCACGGTCCGCTGGACCCTCAGGTCTGATCATGTTCACGTAAACACCCTTTTCCAAGAAACCGTCTGACACGCTGAATCCAAAGTCATCGCTCTCTGGGTCTTTCATCACCGTCACCTGTTAAACAGAAAATTATTGCTGTAATTTAACCATGAGCTAGGTTCTTCCGAATATTTTCATCAGAAGATGCCTTAAGCAGAAGGAGAATTTCAGCAAAAATAAATCCTTAAGTTGTAAAAAATCAATCAAACAAACAAAATATTATCTAATAATAATATTAGATTAAGTAATTTAGTTGAGAAATGTTTGTTTTTTTCTCTTTTTGTAGATTTTTAAGCATAAACCTCATTATGTTTGTTGGGTTTATAGTACACTTAAAACAAGAAAAAAAAACATTTCCCAATGTAGTAATAAAAAAAAACCCAACTAAACCCAATTGTTTTTTTTCCAGGTATATTTAACGAAACAAAACAAAATGAAATTAAATGAAACAAAACCACAGTAAAACAAAAGTAAGGCAAAAGCACAGCATAACAAAAGCAAAGCCAAAATAAAAAACAAACAAAGAAAAAAAATATTTTCCTAATGTAGTAATAAAAAAAAATAATAAAAACAGGTATACTGTAATGAAACGAAACAAAACCACAGCAAAACAAAAGTAAAAAGCACAAAAGCGCAGAAAAACAAAAGCACAGGAAAACAAAAGCGAAGCCAAAATAAAAAAATAAAAAAACATTTTCCTAATGTAGTAATAAAAAAATAAAAAAAATGTTTTTTTCCAGGTATATTTCCAGTTATATAACGAAACAAAACAAAAACAAAACGAAATGAAACTAAACAAAAGCACAGCAAAACAAAAGCAAAGCCAAAAAAAAAAAAATCACCAAAGCAAAACAAAGGCAAAGTAAAGCAATACACAAAACAAGCAAAGCAAAACAAAAGTAAAGCAACTCCCAGGAAATGTCAGATTTCCTTGGAAATAAACCACAAATATGCTGATAGGACAGATGTGATTGCATCATAAACTATTGGTCTTGACTGAATCATCTTCATTTGAGTTTGGGAAAAAAATATCAAAATTTCCTGTTAAACTGCAGAAAAAAGCACACATGATATATTAACAACGAGGGTTTGCAGATGTATCTCCGTGGCCTTTCCCAGGGACATTTTCTGAGAAGATCTGAGAATGCTGTTCGCACTCTCCCCAGCGGTTACTAATGGCAACCGTGTTGACCAGCAGGCAGCAGCTCAGATTGGGGAAGGGGAACTCGTCACGTTTTCTAAAGGGAACGCACAATAATGTTAACAGTGTGTTCAATGTAGTGTGTTGTGGAGTTTGTCCACCTTGTGCAGCTCTAACGGTGTGGGCGACAGGATGTCCTGGATCTCTTCTTTGATCCTCCGTGATTCCCAGGTTTTCTCGGACATGCGGAGCGTGCTCTTGTTCTTGGTCTCGTTGAGAAGAAGCGGGGGCTTACGCAGAGGGCTGAGGTGAGGTTGGCTGACCGTCTCGCAGTGGCTCTTTCCCCCATCCACTCCCAAACTCAGGGCACTGCCGGTCATTATCGACGCCTAGGGATGGACAAGAACCACAAACATTGATTCCTGCTCAACTGAGGCCTTTTCACATGTCTCATGCCAAGTGTGCTAAACTCCTGACGCGAGTCATGTGAAAGGGCCTTCACGGCAAAATGTTTCAATAGGGAGCGCTGTTTGAGCCTCTGATTGGGTGCTCATTAAGCAATTGTCTCATCTAATGAAACTCTATTAACCAGAGGACATGAAGCCCATCCTCATTTACCTTTAATGAGCTCCAGTTTGGTTTATTTCCCAAGAGCTGTGACTGAAATGTCTGTTAAATGAGAGTTCAGGCATTTCTGACTCTTTGAAGCTTTAATGCAATAATAGTTTAATGAGCTAAGATGTGTCGAGGGTTGAGTTAAATCCTATTAAAACGCAGTTAAATATGGCAGATTAGTTGGAAAGCTGAATTTTATTTCGCCTTTATGATGTAATTTGAGATTTGTGCAGGCTTGCACATTAATATGCAATTTTCTGTAAAGTCCCTCAACCATAAAGCACCTCCTTTAAAGACAGTTCAGTCAATAGGCAAATCGTGGTTATCATTAACCAAAGCTAAAACTAAAACCTAAAATAAAAAACACTTTCGTTGAATCGTAACTTGACATAATACGGAGCACCTAAAGGGAAAAGGTGATGGAAAAACTATGCAATGATTTTTTTCAATGCTTTATAGTTCTCTCGAAAAACTTTTACGCACCTCTGAGAAATTGTGCATTTGCTTGCAAAGAAAACTCAAAAGGTTTTGCAAGCGAATGTAAAGTTTCTAAGCGGGACAAAAAGTATTAGAGAGAGAACAAGCATTGAAATATACTATTTTTAAAAAAATCACCATATCCCTTTAAGGGCTGGATAATATAACATGTTAACTGAAATAAAATAAAATATTAAATAATATAAAATAAAAAAAATCTAAGGCAACATTTCTTATTTTCATTTTCTTCATTTTTTATTCTTCTTAGTTTAAGTTGAAGTATTAAAATAACTACAACAGAAATAAAAATTTAAAAAGCATTCGAAGCCAAAAAACAAACAAAAAACAAGATCAAATTAAAGCAAAACAAAACAAAACAAGATCAAATTAAAGCAAAACAAAAACAAAACGAGATCAAATTAAAGCAAAACAAAAACAAAACAATATCAAATTAAATTATTATTATCAAATTATCAAAAAAGATCAAAGTAAAGCAAAAAAACAAGATCAAAGTAAAGAAAAACAAAACGAGATCAAAGTAAAGCCAAATTAAACAAAATGAGATCAAAGTAAAGCAAAAAAAAAGATCAAAGTAGAGCAAAACAAAACAAAACGAGATCAAAGTAAAGCAAAACAAAACAAAACAAGATCAAAGTAAAGCAAAACTAAACAAAATGAGATCAAAGTAAAGCAAAAAAAGATCAAAGTAAAGCAAAACAAAACGAGATCAAAGTAAAGCAAAACAAAACGAGATCAAAGTAAAGAAAAACTAAACAAAATGAGATCAAAGTAAAGCAAAACAAAACAAAACGAGATCAAAGTAAAGCAAAACAAAAACAAAACAAGATCAAAGTAAAGCAAAACTAAACAAAATGAGATCAAAGTAAAGCAAAAAAAGATCAAAGTAAAGCAAAACGAGATCAAAGTAAAGCAAAACAAAACAAGATCAAATCAAAGCAAAACAAAAACACAACGAGATTAAATTAAAGCAAAACAAAAACAAAACAAGATCAAATTAAAGCAAAACAAAAGCAAATCAAAAGAGAATGCAAAATTAAGCAAAGCAAAAAAAGTTCTCTTTTTTCCAAGTTGAAGTACTAAAATAACTTTTTAACAAAGTTTTAACAAAAACTTTAACATAAGTTGAAAACTGAATACATTTTATAATAGTATATGATTGATCCTGAAATACCACTAATGCAAATTCAGTCATTATTTATTCATCTTCATGTTGTTCCAAACCTGTTGGACTTATTTTCTTCAGTGAATGTGAAATACTTAATCCTGGCTGCTCTTCACCATATAAATGACTTTACTGTTGAACCAAATACGTTGATGTCACTGACGTGAAACCTGGGTGGCATATTTGAATGAATGTGAATCGGAATTACATTTAAATTTAAGCATTTCCCCACACAAAGCTATCATGTGGCAGTTCCCATTTAATGACAGCAACCCATTTACTGGCACTACACTGAAAAGAGTGCCAGGACAGGACAAAACATCCCCTTTTGTGTCCCACGTTTTGTGATGAAAGAATGTCAAGTACCAATGGAGGAACATGTCATCCATGGCTGACCTCGCTAACCAGTGTCACCAAGAATCTGATAAAAACACTTCCTCATACTTTTGTAACTCTCCTCAGCTGGTTGTGTAAGAACAGAGCTCATTGTTTAGAGCAAGCAGGCATGAAATGAGACATCGGTTGCCATGCATACTTCTTTTTTTTGGTAACGGTAGAGTAGTGATTGCTCTGGGATTTTCAGCATTAATGAAGAAAAAACAAAAGAAAGATCAGCGTCAGCGTTGTTTTAGCACTTGACTCACTACAGTAATTTTGTAAATACGATACTGGTGCGAACACGGGCCAAAAAAATGTGCTGAACACAATTTTCATGGGACATTTTCTCATCTTGCAGGGTGTTTTGAGTGCGTGTGGAGGAGTCAGCAGACGACCACAATCTGACATATTTCACTGGGACTGTACAGCGTTGAACAACCACTGAACTGCAGAGATTTAGGAGTCATTGTAGTTATATATATTCCATACCTGTCAACACTCCCGTTTTTCCCGTGTTTCCCGTGCATCATGCAGCCCAGACCATAAGGCCTAGAGACATGAAACTTAGCCAGATGGTAGGCCTCAGTTTGGGGAGAACCTATCAGAGTATTAGCCCGATTGGCCCATAGGTGGCGCTACAGCAATAAAAAGTACTAAATTGCTCATAACTCCTAGACTGTTTGACTCAGCCTCAGGTTTTTACACCACTGCGATCCTTGGCTAGATGTATATCTCTTTCGATTTAGGCAAGAAAAGAATTTGGCTGTGTTGAATTTTGTCCGAAACCTACTTTTGCGAACTAGTCCCTGGTTTTTCGCCCGATCGGAACCAGACCAGTCTAGGACAATCCTCTGGACTCTCTAGATCAATAATTATCGGAAAAAAAGTTGAAATTTTGCATTTGGTTGGCTATAACGGGGTCATTTAGAAAGTGGACCGTGGTCCAAAATACAGTCAACAGCCATTAAATCCTAAAGGAAAAGTCTTCACAAAAATTGATGAGCATAATGTGTCCTAACATGGTTAGGAAGTATGCAAAGTTTCGTAAAGAGTGGACCATAGGTGGCGCTATAACCATCAAAAAAGGTCTCATTCTTTTAAGTTAAAGCACGAAACTATGGTAAATCATGCTAGATTCATGGAACATGGTAAATAATGAAAATCACACTGAAATGTGGTGTATCATGGTAAATCATGCTAAAACATGGTCTATTCCGACGTGATCTATGATCTGGTTAAATGGTTAAATGCTTGCTACATAAAACGTAATGTCTTTTGATGTTTTTGTGCTTGAAGGCCTTAACTGCTTGAACCCCGCTAAATGTTGCATGCAGCTTTAATTTTTTTATATTCTCTCTTTTTTGGGATTTCATATAAAAGATTTAAGACCATAATTTGTGTTAAATTAACTTGGCATTTGATTTTTTAAAACTAGTTAACGCTGATGTGTGTGATCTCATCATAAACACATGGCACACGTTGATCGGCCTATGCTAACCGTGCAGTCAATGAGATTGCTTGCTCAACGTTTATATAGTATGGTTCAGTGTTTGCTGTAATCTAGTCCTACAGTGTGCTATCACAGTTCATCTGAACAGCAGAAATAAACAACAGAAGCAGTGTCACTGTTTCTGAACTCCCTGAAACGCCTCCATTGTAGTCTTAAGTTTTCTTCTGGGAACAAACACGTCACAAAATTACTCTTTTAAATAATTCCCGCCCAACTCAAACGTAAAATAAAGGGGCTTGGCCTGGTTGAGTTGGTTAGTACTGTGTTGAAATAGTTATAGTAAGGGGCGTGACATTTCCCAAACACGCTCGAATAGCTTGACCAATCACAACACATTGATCAAGCTGACCAATCACAGCACTTTGGGCTTCATAGAGACAGGAACTAAACAGAGTGTTACTCATATATAAAATATGTGAAAAAATACTGTGTTTTTTGAACATTCGAGCATGAAAACCTATTCTAGAAGAGCTCAATACTTTGTGAAAGGGCCGAGTACACGAATGGTTCTCGTGACTCTTACATAACTGATGTTGACATCATCATCACACCGAGTGCAAACTATTAACTTTTTCTATGGAGAAATGCCATCTTTCCTCTTATGTGTTAAAGTATATCTAATCCACTAGATGATTAAAGGTTTCCAAGCAGCAAGCTCATTATTTAAGCGGTTTACCTCAATCTCGCGCAGTAGCTCGGACTGGCCACACGTCTCCAGGTCTTCCAGGGCTTGGCACCAGAAGCTGTCCTCCTGCTCCATTATGAGACCATCGGCATGTGTCTGGCTGCTGTATCTGCGGCAGACGCACAGGTTAGAGCCAATAAGGCATGAGGCACTTAGGCTGGCACTGATATCCGGCTCTCTGGCACCAGCCTTGGCACGTTAAGAAAGACCGCAAGGATGGGTGGAGAGAGGGCCTCTTGCGAAACAAACTAGGCCTGAAGCCCTGCTTAGACTTTCTACTAACTACAAATAACTTTGCAACTACATGTCAAACTAATTCTCATTAGAGTATTAGTAGACTGTCTGCTTAATATCTGCTAACTCTTTATTTTGATGGTCCCTCAATAGACATTCTACTGACTTTGCAAGTACATGTCAACTTATAACTTCTATTCTACTAACACTTAATCTAAATCTACAACATTCTACTAATACTCCTAATACTAATACTAATTTACACTGTTATTATTGCATGCAGATTTATGTGCAACAACACTAATGTGCAAATAGTATCTGCCAATATTTAGAAGTATATATAACATCTAACTACTATTTACACGATTTTAACAGTGTAAATAGAATCTATTGCTATGAATCTGTGCTATTTTCACATTTTTAATTCAGTTAGTTGCCAAGGCTAGGCAAGTTTTTCGAGTTTACGTTTTTTTAATCTGATTATATATTATTTAGGGATGCACCGATATGATTTTTTCCCGATACCGATAACCGATAATTCTTTATATTTGAATGCCGATAGCCGATATATTGGCGGGTGAATCTAAATCCAAATTTTTATATCATTTTAAGTGCCTAATTACAAAAACAAAAGTCTCACAATTAAAAGCCATCATTCTCATTATAATTTCATGTAGCCTATATGACAGAAAATTTTGCACTTAACTGTATTTTCAACTTGTAATTCCAATCATATTTCAAGCAATTCAAAACCATCATGTTAAACAGTGTGCATGTGAAGTGTCTCAGCTAAAGGAAATAATCCATTATATATCGGCTTAAATATATCGGCCAAATTTTCTTATCGGGCCCGATAACGCTAACATTAAAAATTAACATATATCGGCCGATACCGATATTGTGGCCTATACATCGTGCATCCCTCACACATTATTTTATTTCAGATTTATTTATTCAAGTTTTTCAAGTTTACGTTTTTTAATCTGATTATATATTATTTAGGGATGCACCGATATATATTTTTTGCCGATACCGATAACCGATAATTCTTTATATTTGAAAGCCGATTACCGATATATTGGCGAATAAATCTAAATCCAAATGTTTATATCATTTTTAAGAGCCTAATTACAAAAACAAAAGTCTCACAATTAAAAGCCATCATTCTCATTATAATTTCATGTAGCCTATATGATATTTGAGCCCGATCTCATGAAAGTTTGTATCCCTAGAACGAATTTTATTTCTCGTGCCATTAATACACCAAAAATGGTTTTCACGTGCATATGATACGCACTTTATGGCGTAAAATGCGCACGAACTCACTACCCCCCTCGCCCCTAAACCTACCCAAGGTGTATAATAAATGCGTAACATATGCATGCAAAAAGCATTTTTGGCGTATAAATGGCACGAGAAATGACATTTGTGATATAGATATGCACTTTCATGAGACTGTGTTGGATATTTTGCACTTAACTGTATTTTCAACTTGTAATTCCAATCATATTTCAAGCAATTCAAAACCATCATGTTAAACAGTGTGCATGTGAAGTGTCTCAGCTAAAGCAAATAATCCATTATATATCGGCTTAAATATATCGGCCAAATGTTCTTATCTGGCCCGATAACGCTAACATTAAAAAAGTACATATATCGGCCGATACCGATATTGTGGACCATCATGTTAAACAGTGTGCATGTGAATTGTCTCAGCTAGAGGAAATAATCCATTATTTATCGGATTAAATATATCGGCCGATACCGATATTGTGGCCGATATCCCTCACGTTATTTTATTTCAGATTTATTTCCATTAATTGCAAACAACAATGATTAGAAATGATTCGAGCTTGGAGAGCACGACCTCCAGTCTCACCCGGCAGTTTTCTCCCAGTCGTCTTCGCTGAATCCCCCGTCACTGAAAGGGTAGTTCTTGCGGCGGGTGGGGGGTGGAGTGCTGTTCCTCTGCTTGCTGTTGCGCCACTCGTGAGGATGTAACGCTATCCCAGCAGCCTGATGGATGTAGGCACCTTTGGAGGAGGCGGGTGAGGTCAAGGGTTTTACAGCGGCTGTCAATAGTTTACCAGTGTGGAGATCTACGAGCTTGAGCTCACCTTGGCTGCTGTATCCGGCGTCGATTCCCGAGCCGTCCCATGACTCCATCGCCGAGTCCACGCTGGGGATGGTGGTGGAGTAAATGTCCGACAGTTTGTTGGTCTTCTGAGAGTCTGTCATCTCGTCCTCATTGTCGCTGAGCTCGGTATCGAGATCGTTCTCTTTATTTTTGTCATCTAGGTCTGAAGGGGGAGTTATGATTATCATATATATTTGCATATAGAACATATTAGCTGCATAGGATCCTGCTGTTTGCGACTCACCGTCGGTCTGCTTCTTGATCTTGAGTGTGACGGTTTCTCCGGCCATCTGCAGCAGGTGTATGGCTTCACTGAGCGGTTTGCCCTTCAGACTCACGCTGTTGATGGCCAGAATGCGATCTCCAACATGAATGGCTCCGGTCCTGAGAGAACAGACCACACCGTCACGCTGATAAACAACGGCACGTGGGCATAAATATATACATGCATGCATAGGTATTTATATATACAAAATAATTATATACAGCACATACACACAAATATATTATGTAAACACAGACTTTTATTTTGGATGCGATTAATCGCAATTAATTGTTACACAGCCCTACTTAAAAGTCATCTGACTGTTATAACTAAAACAAAAATATATCAGCCAAACAAAACGATGAATGACTTAAGGGTCAAGAGCCCAACTAAAACAAACATTGATCACCATAATGGTGACTTAAAATTATTTTCTACTTAAAAATTGATTCTGCTTGTTAACATCACTTGTCTTCAATATTGGCAATATAAAATAAAGAGTTCTTCTTTCATCTTTGACGTCTTGTTTTGTTTATTTTTTTGTGTAAATTTTACTATTTTTAAATGGTTAACATTTAAGGAATTAATTAGATGAACTAGTACTCCGTTCTAATTTGTTAAATTTAATTAATAATATTGCTTGTAATCTGTTGTCATAATTTTATTGATTAGATAGCATACTCATTTTTACAGTGAGGGGCGTTTTGGGAGTCGACCCGACTGACCTCTCAGCGAGGCCCCTCTTGGTCAGGCCTGAGATGATGATGGGGTCAAAAGGCTCCTCGGTGCCGGAGATGGTGATGCCCAGCGGGCCACCGTAACGCTTCAGCTCCACCGTGTAGATGATGGAGCCGGACGACTCCTGCTCGTCTGGACACACAATGACACGACACTGACCAACTACTTTTAGATGCCTTCAGACATGCATTCAAAATCAACATATCATGAGTATTTAATGGTGACTCAAGTCGTACAGTTTCACCCATCTGCTATTCTTCTGACCACACACTGTCTTTCGCCTCATAACAAAACAGAACTCTGTCTATCATGTCAACAAAATAACACAAGTGATACATAAAGGATACGTACATTGTGTCATTTGTATCGTTTTCATGACTTCAATGTTATGAATGCAGAAAATAGCACAAAAGAAAGAGTGGGTGTGGCCACATGTTTGATTGACAGTGTTGAACGGCAGGGTTTTTGTCATTAGTTGCACCCTCGGATAAGAGGATCTTTCACATTTTATGTAGTTCTACTGACACCTGTTGGTTGAAGGGTGAATGACATATGGATGAAATGCTTTAAAATCAAA